CCGCAGCTGATTGGACGGAGAAGGAGAAGGAGGAGGGTCAGAGATGAACAGCGACCAATTCCATTTAAATACATTTCCCAGTTGTGCATCAGTACAGCCTCACAGAGCTGCTGCTAAAGAAGAGACGTCAGGAAGGTGTAAAACTCTCCGAGCCTTTTTACTAGTTTCATTTCTGTGTTAGCACCCAAAGTCTTTTTTTAGCTTGGTCCGACATTTTTCAGTTTCCGACTGAAAGAGTTGTTTCATTTTTATGTTACGTGTTCTGCAATAATTTGTCTTTTTGTATAGTTTTGATGTCATTTTCCATCTTTTGTGCTTTTCTATGAGCGCTGCTTCATTTTGAGGACGACTCAACAATCGGGAAGATTCCAAAGTTCACTCGGACTTATTTCCAATCATGAAGTTACTTCAGGTGGGAAGACAAATGAGCTGGAGCCTCGGCTCCAGGAGAAACTGACCACGCTCTCGCATCACAATTCATCACAATCTGTCATGGCGGCGGGCTGGCGAGCGTCGTGTCAGCAGGTTTTAAAGACCTCAACAGGTTGGAGAGTCGCCTGCTGACAGAGAAAGACTGAGCTGTGGTTCTAACCTCGAACACCAGTCTGCAGGATTTCCACATTTAATTTCTGTTTTAGGTTCGACACAAACAACAAACTGCCGTCTGTGTGTGTGTGTGTGTGTGTGTGTGTGTCTGTGTGTGTCTGTGTGTGTGTGTGTGGACGATGACTGTAATTACTCTGACTTTGACAGATTTAAAGGATAAGTTGGGTTTTATAAAACTTTTATAAAAGACCTCAGAGGGAATCAAACGTTACCACAAACAAATGAAACTAGTCAAGGATCAAGTTCTGTGTGAGGTTAAATTACTGTTTTTGTCAATGGAGTCTAGTTTTTAAAGTGATATAAGAGCTGGTTCAACGAAATGACCTTCGTCTACAACACGTCTGTCTGTGTACGAATCGTAAGCTGCTGTCTCAGTGACTCTTTGAGGGACGTGCGTGACGTGGACAGAAACAGTTCAGGGCTCAGAGAGTTTTGTCCCTTTTGTCATTTCCACATAAAATAAAGTAAAATAAAGGTTTTATCCCTTAATGCTCTTGTGCCTTTAAAAACAAATGTGGCTCATAACTTAATCACAGACTTTAATAAGCTGCACCTTCGATTTTAGCCTTGGGATACAAGCTTTTCAAATTAAAAGCATTTCCTTGTTACGTTACCTGGCGATGACATACCTTACTTAACTTTCTGAAACATGTGTCTTTACTTTTAATTAAAATAATCTCTTAAAAAAGATGAAGACATTACGATAAAAAGTATTTTCTGGGTTAAGACAGAAAAAAGGAACAAGACGATTTATGTACGAGGGCCATGTTGAAGACTGAGATTAAATGTGTCAAAAAGAAAAGACGAAATATTACGAGAATAAAGTCGTAATTTTAAAAATATTTTGAGGAGGAAAAGAAGATTTCATGAAATATGCAACAGAGGAACCCATGCAAGACAAAAATCTCCAGGAGACACAGGAAGAAGAGTTTCTTCTTCTGTGGTAAAACAAAGTCTGTGTGTTAATGGATCAATAATCTAAATGTTTGCATGTAGAATAAAACTGTCAGGAATGATCTGCAGTGAAACTTGGACGAGGTCGTTTGTTTCTCGTCCCCAGCGTTCACCCGTGGTTCGCACTTGACACGAGGAAACGACCTCCTCAGACTCGTCAACAAGGAGACGGACAAGGAACAAACTGTCTCTTCCCCTGTGTGTGTGTGTCTGTGTGTGTCTGTGTGTGTCTGTATGTGTGTGTGTGTGTGTCTGTCTTTAGGAATCCTGGGCGTTAACTGGAATTTTTTTAAATCCCTGGAGGAAACTCATCCTCTGTCGGATTGATTTAAAAACAAAGACACACAAAATATACACACTGTAAACCACTCACTCACTCACACACACACACACACAAACACAAACACACACACACACACACACACACACACAGAGAGAGACAAAATGCGGTGAAGGCAGCCGGACGAACGCCAGACTAAAAAAAGAACGTTGTTTACGTCATCGTTTCGGTTCAGATTCGAGTCACAGCGTTCATCACCTCTGACCCTGCTGCTTAGACCCCTCCCACCTACACCACCTAAATGAGCTGCTGAAGACGACTTGAAACTAGACACAGAAACTCACTTTGTTCTATAGAAACCGAGGCTGCGTCCGTTCTTATAAACCTTAAAATACGTTTGGAGTTATTTTGATAAGAACTCGGAGGGTTAGCCGGGGACTGTGTTGTTCCCATGGTCATCAGCTCGAGCTCTTTGTTTTCTCTTCCTGTTGCACCATGGGAGGTAAACAATGAGTAAACAAAACAAGCTGCGCCACATCCTGGTTTTCAGCCTCAGCTCATCACAGTTGCACTCGGAAATCAAGAGAAAAGACTCGATGGAGTTACAGACGTGACTCAGTCTCACTCCGACCCTCTGACCTACGTCCTCCAACACGCCCGACCCAAACACACGGCTTCTGCTCTTTGTGCACAGCTTCCTCTGTTGGTGGGTTTAAATAAAGATTGAATGAAACGTTCGACTTCCTCACTATGAAAAGAAACGGGTTCCAAACATTTCACTGTTGACCTCCATGTTAAAGATGAAGTCTCAGGCTCAGAAGTGACCAGAAGATACTGGTCCTGTCTACACACTGAAAACAAAGATGGACGACCCCTCCTCCTCCGTGTTTGCAGATGGGACATGGGTTCTTCTCTCACTGATGTTTGTTCAAGTGTTTCTGATCAGTTTGGATTTAATTCGTTATTTGATGATATAAAAACAGGCGGAGACGTCATGGTTGACAGCTGAGACTGACTCCTGATTGGTCGACTGTGTGTACCGACTCCTCATGATGTCATCTGTTGGAGATGGCGCCGCTGATATCCGGGGATATATTGGCTTCATTTCTGGAGCAGAAGGAAGTGGAGATGTATTGTTTATGTTTTTTACTATTTTTATCATTTACAGTCTATGGTCCTGTCTGCTAACATGGAGGAGGCGGGGTTCGTGACCTATGCTGCGGCCAGCCACCAGGGGGCGATCCGGATCATGTCGTGCATTTCTTTCCATAACAGTGAACATTTAGGACAAAAACTGGATCAATTCTTATAAAAAAAGTTTTTATTAAATAAGAAGATGTTTGATTTTAAAACTTGAACATCCGTCATGTAGCAGATGAAACTCATCTTTCATACAAACTTTCAGAGATGAGCGTTTTTGTTCCAACACAGTAAAGACATGAAACACGTCTGCAGATCATTTGTTTGATGTGAAAGAAGTGACCAGTGATCTCTGAACGATGGGAGGCACCAGCTGATCCCCGGCCACACTGCGGACCCACCTTGTAAAACTCTGAATGGTTCAAATGTTTTCTGTGACCTCCTGCTCCGTGGAGAACAGAGGGCGAGCGGCTCCTCGCTCCTCGCTCCCGGGATTAGCTGCTTTTATTATGTTTACAGGAGGACGAGGTGAAAATGTGGCCGACCACTTGAGGGCGAGCTGAAAAATCTCATTTTAACTGCGCGGCTGATTTATCAGCTGAGTGGACGACGCCAGAACTCGGTTCCCTTCGCGCCAGATCTTCTTCTTCAAAACTTCATGTTTGAGTATTTCCTCATCTTCGTCTTCCCTCCTCCTCCTCCTCCTCCTCCTCACTGCTCTGACATCTACCTTCTTTAATCCTCCTGATACTTTATTCAGATATTTTTCTGTGTCCGTCGGCCAAAGCAGGCGACAGCTTTACGACCTCCCTCGCTGCCAGGCCTATAATCCCCTCCATGATTTAATAACTCCCCTCCCTCCCTGCCTCCCTCCCTCCCGATCCCTCCGCTCGTCTTATTATGTGAACATTAAGTTGAGTTAATATCTCCCTCTGCTTCCTTAAATCTCTAATCCACCGCAGGTCTCTCTCTCTTTCATGTATCGTGTTATTTTCTCTGCAGAATCCGTCATGTCGTGATTTTCAATCCCCCACGACTCAACCTGATGAACTCAAGTAACGCTCCACATTTTCACAGATTTTAAACTGAACGGCGTTTGTCATTATTTATAAATCTGAAGTTTGAATCGAGGGAACATGGTGCTTGTCTTCAAAATTCAGCTCCGGATAAAAACCTCCATCAGCAGGAGGAGAAGACTACAACTCCCATCATCCAACGCTGCTTCAACAACCTCACAGGTTCTTTGGTCCTTAAATCGAATGAGATTCATAATGTGACTAAAATAAAGATTCTATCAAACCACAGCTATAAAACATCTTCAGTCAGTCAACATGCTGCCACTTCATCAGTTACAGACCCAGGGAGGGAGTTTGTGTCGGTGCCCAGAGAACAGGTGCCCGAGGTTCTTCCCCCGAGACCCGGATCCAGCCGGGCCCCTGGTACCCGAGCGTACGACGGTAAAACATATTTATCAGAGTGAGTGAGCAGAACATAACAACATTCTTGGTTTACTGACCGAGTGCTGGAGGTCACGTACACACAGATCGTCTGTAACAGTATTAACGTGAAGCCTGTGCAGCAGCAGCTCGGCTTTATGGGCTCGTGTGGAATGTGAGACCTTTAGAGAGAAATACAAATCATCTGCAGAAGATCGCTTTAATTCTTCCTTTAATTTCAAGCTCTTTCCTTTACTTTTTGAAGTAATCGTGATCCTGTAACATCTGCAGGCAAATCTCTGGTGGTGTCTGAAATGAGGGAGCAGGAGTGTGAACCAGTTTTCAGATCAACACTCACAAAGAGACAAATCTTCAACTCTAATTAAAAACTCAGATATAAAACAGTGTTTTTTACTTTATTTAACATTATGTGAGGGATGAAAACTTAGTTTCAATTATGCAAAACGTCTTTTGAACCGTTTAAGCTGAGGGTCCAGGGATTCATAAACTTTATCTTTTGAGATAAAGTGAATTCAACATTTTTGTTAATTTCTCAGAGAATAATTCATCGATGAAAAGAATCA